GGTATAAAGGGAAGTGTATCCCCTGCTTTACGAAGTTTGTGTGAGGCCTCTTCACTTTTTTACGAAAGACCTACATTAGTGCCTGTTTTTCCTAACTGAAAGAAATCCAGAGGGTTTTCACTCTTAAAAAAAAAAGCCATTATTGTAGCAGTGTACATAATATCCATCCTACACTTTCCTTCTGAGCTCCATACCTCCTGTTGGTATACATGACTTAGTCTTTTTACCTCACATGGATGCTTCATATGCAGTACAAACTCAGGTCTGACACAGAAGTTATCTTCCTCTTCTCCAAAACTTTTTCTTCTAACACTGCAGCCTCCCACAGCAATACATCCATCTGTCCATTCCCTCAAGTGAAAAACCTAAGGCCATCCTTCGCTCCACCTTTTCTGTAACTTCCTTTCCTCAACATAAAACCAGTCCCTGGTGCCCACTGCTAACTTATATCATTAAGCTCTCAAGTCCAGCAGTGTGACCCTTCCCTCTCTCTCTTAGCTTAAGGCCTCCTTGTCTCTTATTTGCATTGCTCCCTGAGCCTCCTAGCTAATCACCTTCTTTAGGGCTCATTGAGTTTCTCCAGTTTATTGATGTATGCTGCAGCTGGAGTGGCCTTTTTATAAAATGCAGTCTGATCATCTCACTCACCTACTTATAAGCCCCAGGGGCTTCCCATTTGCTCTTAGTTAGGATGAAGTCTTATTAAAGGTTGTACCCTCACCTTAAACTTAATTCCTGTAGAAGACTTCCCTGTTGGTCTCCCTTTTATAGCTCTTGTTCACACTTTGTGCTTTGTTTTGTTATGTATTAGTATAGTTAGTGGTTAAGAGCTTGGGTTCTAAAGCCAGATAGGCTAGGTCTGAATACTAACCAGTACTGATTACTGTTTACTAACTGTATATACTCGGGCTTAGGACTTACCATCCTCTGCCTCAGTCTTCCATCTGGAAATACTAACAGTGCCTACATCATAGGATTGTTGTAATGATTTTTTTTTTTTTTAAGATTTATTTACTTATTTTTGAGAGAGAGAGCGAGCAGCAGGGAGGGACAGAGGGAGAGAGAAACTCCATGCTGAGCACAGAGCCCTTCGCAGGGCTCAATCCCAGGACCCTGAGATCTCGACCTGAGCTGAATCCAAGAGTCAGACACTCAACCAACTGAGCCACCCAGGCGCCCTTCCTTGAGTATTGTTAGTGACTATTATATCAGCTAGAATATTTCCTATTAGCTGGTATATTGTTTTCTCTCTAAATTTATTTTTAAAGGTCAACAGAAAAAAACATTTTTAATAAAAACTATACTCTCTAACATAATCTTGCCTTTCATGTAGCTTAAGGATTTAAAAGAATAGAACAGAGAAGAGCTATATAATAAAATATGTGGAGACTATACAAATTATTCCCAAAGCAGTTTTTAAAAAATAACCTTGGTAGTAATTATGTACAAACTGACCCAGTTACCCCTTACTAAAAGCTTGTAGTTGCAGCGAGAGTAAATTTCTGTCTTTAAAAAGTTAGTTCTTTGAGGCAAGGCTACTAACTACCCCATTTTATGTACTTGTGCCACATGTGGAATCTGTGGATTTAAGGAAACTAACAAATTCTATGCCTTTTAGCTCTTACGGATGATCTTTTTTTTTTTTTTTTAAAGATTTCATTTATTTATTTGACACAGAGAGAGAAACAGCATGAGAGGGGATAGGGTCAGAGGGAGAAGCAGGCTCCCCGCTAAGCCGGGAGCCCAATGTGGGACTCGATCCAGGACTCCGGGATCGTGACCTGAGCCGAAGGCAGTCGCTTGACCAACTGAGCCACCCAGGCGCCCACGGATGATCATATTTTGATATACCAGTCTTTGATACATTCTAGATGGGAATTTATCTTTTTGATGTGAGGAGTTCTGCTAGGTGGTTGTTTGTATAGTTCAGATCATTATTCTGCAATTGAAGGAAACTACATGGATATGCTTTTCTAGGATTATTACTAAATTAACACAAATAACTTTTTAAAATAAATCCCTGAAAAACCATCATCCTTGTAATAGATTCTCTCTGTAGCTAATATTTAAATGGTATAAGTTACCCATCATAGTACCCCAAAATGATGAGGAAATAAGAATTTTGGAAGTTATTAGGACTAATAACTATGTCTTGCCACTGTGATTACTCAAGTGTGTGATGTGAACAGCATGCAGATGTGTGTTGCCCTTTATTTAGTCTTCAAGTTTTGTCATCTTCTAGACTTAAAATATTTGATTAGCAGTATGGAATATTAAATAGTATTAGTAGGGATTGGCCTTAATGTATGTGTTTTGGGTTGTGTGTGTGCATGAGAGGGAGGGAGGGAGACAGAGAGAGAGAGAGAGAGAGAGATTTATAAGTCCTGAATATAAGTGCTGGAAGTTTTTTTGGAAAAACATAACCAATTTGTAACTGAAACAGGATTAGTCAAGAATCATCAGCACCAACACAAATGTATCTTTGCAGACCAAAGGAATCAGCTAAACAATTTGCAGTCATCTCAGTCTCTACTAAAACAAAAATCACATCCAACATGCCACCTGACACCATTTCTTTCTCTCTCTCTCCTTTGCTCCTTGCGATGTGGCATTCATCTCTCCTTGTGCCTCCGTTCTGAAGAGATAACAGTATAGCAACAACTCTGCCACTGAAATCCTGTTCTCTGACCGATATTGGCACCTGCAAAGAGAAACAACCAGTAACAGGCAGCAGCAGCATCAGTATTAATCTTCCATGATGAAATCTTTACAGGTCAAGAACAAGCACACAGCTCTTTTCTCACTCCTTCACAGTGGACCATGCAACTAGTTGAAATGGAAGACAATGGATTGTCTACAAGCCTTTTGAACAGTGGAGAATACAGGGCATTGGTTTTAGGTGAATTGACCCCCAAGTAACTCTTGAAGTTTGATATCTCCTTTGGTCTTTCTTTCTAGAATACCACTGTCATCTGATATATCAGATCCTTAGTATAACCACAAAGAATAAGTTTGCATATGTGACATTTATTGTCACTTGTTTGAATAAAAATATGAAAATAATGAACAGTATAATTCTAGAGGACTTAATCTCTAAATCTGTGTGTTCACCTTTATATTCATGGCCATGACTAGAAGAAATCTCTTGGGAATTCTTCTCTCAATTAAAGCCAACCACATTGTACATTATATTTCTCTAGAACATAAGAAAAGATGCTACTTGTATAAGGCAGTAGTTTTCAGTAGAAGTCTGGTGAAAATACACTGTAGTAGAAAAGGTCATGATTAAGCCCACGAAGAATGTTACAAGGTTTGGGCAAGAAAAGTGCCAAGAATAGTGTTAGAATTCTAAACTTGACATTCTGTCCTTACTACTGTTTCCCTTTTAAAAATGAGTAGTAGTCTATAAAGATGACTTTGCTGAGAGAACATGGGACTGGCTGTAGATAGGAAAACTCCCAGTGTTCATATTTTACCTCCTACTCTTATTATGAATCCATAAACATTACTACTCTGTGTTTCCCCAGTTGCAGTCATACATCTTAACTTGGTGTAGTAGATTTTCAATTACCAAAATGAAAATTTAGAAGTAAAATGTGTTTTGCCCCTGTAATGTTTAATATTAATCCAGTTTTATAGAGAATGGAATTTTTTTTAATTTTGGAAAGAATTTTAGAAGTCGTGTTAGCCATTGGTTAGAGCAGAGTTCAATTCATGTTTGTAAATTCAGTCTAGAGATCACTATTTTACAAAAAAAGAAAACAATTGCTTATCCACTGGCCCTTCCCAATCAGAACTATAACTGCATGCCATTTCCAGTTGACCCTTGTACAATCAGGGGTTAGGAGCACCAACCCTCCTCCACCCCCATGTGCACAAAACTCTGCATATAACTTTTGTCTCCCCCAAAACTTAACTACTAATAGCCTACTGTTAACCAGAAGACTTAACCAATAACATAAGCAGTCAGTTAACACAAATTTTCTATATTATATGTATTATATACTGTATTTTTACAGTAAGCTAGAGGAAAATGTTACTAAGAAAATTATGAGGAAAATACATTTACAGTACTTTATTTGTTGAAAAAAATTTGCCTATTAGTGGACCCGTGCAGCTTAAACTCATGTTGTTCAAGGGTCACCTGTATATTCATGTGCGTCAAGAGAGTCTCGAATACTAGGCTCTTTCCGTCATTGTGTAGAAAGTTAAATGTCTTCATACTTAAATAAAAAATCTGTGAATCCAGCCAAATCCTGAGAAAGGTTCAGAGGAACCCAGGCAGTGTGGAGGACTGCGATACGCTGTAAGGCATGAGGCCTGGGTGTGCTACGGTGTGGTGTCAGCACCTTCCTTCGCGTTTAACATCAAGGAATTTCCAATACAGCAGCTATAATTTCTTTTTCAGGAAGTATACTAAATATTTAAATTTTGCCAGTCAGTTGAATTGTTACATGTATTTGCTGCTGGGAAGGGTTTTATTTTGTCTTGTTTAAATAGAATGGAGGAACTGACAGAATCAAAACCTGCCTATTTTAACAGTTATTCCCAGGGGTTTTAATGTAGATATTTATGCATTTGAATAATGCATAAATTCCACCTCCACATCCCACACCCTCCCCCTAAAAAAGGAAGGAATGAAGTGTAGAGAAAACATTAAGGTTCTAAAATAATTAAGCCAGTGCAATACATCTGAGGGAGATACAGTATGCTCCCATCAGTAATAACCAGCTCAGTGATTGGGGAGGGGAGTGGAGGGAGCATTTATGTAGTTAGGA